CACTCTCTAAATAATGAAGTATACATGACAGTTATTAATATTACAGAAGAATATCTGTTTCTCTCTTGCCGTATTGTTCTGTAATTTATACTGTAACCTGACTGAATTTCAGTTCCTCGCAGCAATTATTTTTGGAACAGGATCATAATGCTACAGACAGAAGGTTCCTGGGCGATATGACGCATATGTATTTTAATCTTGATCAGAATTTCATTATTTTCAGAAGGAGAGCAATTATGGGTATTCTGGGTGCGTGGTATGTTTTTCATTTTCTTCAGTTATTTTCCCACACTCTGTAGAGCGTTTTCTGAGTGTGTTTGTTAGTCAAATCTAAAAACAAAAAGCCTCACTGTGAGACTGTTTGGGATCTTTCAAACTCAAAATGTAGTTTTGACAAATGCTTTCCTCGAGTATTGCATGATTCCATTGTGTATACAGGGAAAGACCTGCGTCCTTCTCTCTACCAGACATTCCCATGGGTGTCTGAGAAACCAGCAGCTCTCTCACCAACCCCCCCCCCCCCCCACCCCCTTCTCTTTTTTTTTCTTGTTCTATTTCTTCCCGATCTCCAGATCACTCTCCCTTTCCCGGCTTCTTTCCATCCCTCTCACTCTCTTTCGCATTCTATTTGGGCAGACATCCAGGGCAGATCGTTGCTCTCAGGATTTCATTAAAAGGATGTTGATGGAGCACTCTCCCCAGCCTAAGTAAATGTGCTCAAGTCCATTTGAGAGAGCATTGTTTGGAAATGGATAACTGAAGTTGGAGGAGAAAAGGAAAAGAGGGAACGGGAGAGAAAGGAAGACAGGGAAAGGGAGATCTACATATTTGTCTTCCAGATGAAGCAGAACGTTTATTTGGAGTCGCTAAATAGCTTCTGCGAAGTACAAACGCTGAGCAAAAACAAGACAAAAACCTCTGCTTCTCAATTATAGCATGTTTATCTGGGACATGGCTGCATGTAAGAGATGACTTTCATTGTACTCCGACAGGTATATTTGACAGTCGACATAAGGGTATCTGGCACATTGGTGGATGGATAGCTCGAGCCACTGTAAGGACATGACAGGTGTTTCATATCCTAGCTATGTGTATCACTGTCTACACACACATACTCACAAATGATTGGCACCAGGGGAACATAACAGACACAAGTAAGTAAGTACACACATTACCCGAGCCACCACATGTTTATCCTTCATCTTTTCAGACCTGGCTGTCACAGGAACACACTCCTCTCACCCGTGATAGCTCTTAACCTGACAGTCCCAGCATATCTATGTTACATCCGCACTCCAGACGTGCGGCTAGCTGTCACGACTGGCCAGCACCTGTCACAGGTGCCCATGACCAGGTGGAGCCAGTACTGTAATCTCATTCGGTGACATTAGGTTGACAGCACGCCTCTTAGACTGCTCAGAGTATTCAAGATGGGTGTTCTTTGTGCACATGTGGCTGGTTTGTTTTTCACATGCCTGATAGGGAAACTTGTTGAGAATAGCTTAAAGTGGACCTATCATGCTATATTTAAATGATATATTGTAGGGCCATACCTATATAAGGTATATTTATACGTTTCTGTTTTCAAAATACCAAACAGATCATGATTTTAAGCCATGCCTCATTTCTCTCTACTGTATGTGCTGTTCTCCAGCACTGTTTTTGCAGGGGGCTGATTCTGTGAGCTGCAGCTGACCACGCCCCCCTGCAGGAGAGGGGAGCGCGCTCTGAACAGCTGCTGGGCTGTCAGAAGAGGGGGAGAAAAATAGATCTCCGTCTTCCGTGTTTTATTATAGCCTATTATTATATAGAGTCGTTATTCATTTGTTTTAAAGCTCAATAAATAACAAAGACCACCTTTGACCGGCACTTTTCTAACTTTGTCCAGAAGATTTAAACTTTAACGGACATCTTGACCGGCGAAAGAAACTGAAACTGAAACTCTGCCACACGGTCCCCTCGTTCCTTGGAAGAGGCGGAGAGGTGGGTGTTTGTCATCTGCTGGTGGACTAACCGGAGAGAATTACAGTGCTTGCCTCGACGGGGAGGGATTGCATTGAATTACAGCAGCGGGAGCAAACGCTTGCCTCGGGGAGGGAGAAAAAAAGCCACAGCGGAGAATAAACAGAAGGGTAACCATGGTAACCATGCGCGGGAAGTCTTCTTCGCTGCTTTTGTGGCAGACTACAGCGCCACTTACAGGCCTGGCATATGTACTACGGCGTCTCCTGCGCTTTCGAGCGGCAATGGCCGGCCGTGGCCCAACCCCACATTCCCCTGATAGGTGGAGAGTTGGCCCAATAGCCGTAGCGCCACTTTCCTGACGTCAGTAAATTGTTCAAATCTGGATCAGTTTTTATCAGATCCATTGCAGCCCCTTTTTTAGAGATTTGGGTATGGAGGAAAATAGAGAGGGTTGTGTTTTCTGACACTTGGTGAGTTCCCTGGAACACCGGGGACACATATTCATGTATAAAAGACGTACAAAAGTGCATTTTGCATGATAGGTCCCCTTTAAAACACCAAGTTTTGAAAATGTATTTTGACAGCAAAAGGTGGTAAGGTGTATATATATATATATATAATATATACTTTATTTAACCAGGTGAAAGATAAGAGAAACTATTATAAAACATTAAAAACTGGCACAATTTTAAAACGACTTCAATTATGGGATATACGAGCAATCACATCGACCAATGAAGTTGAAAGGTATCTTGATGGCAAATGTAGTTTCGGTTTTCCCCCTCACTGTGCCAACATTTATCAACCAGAAAATATACCCATCTGATGTCTCTGGAGAATCCGGCACCGTATGACACCCACTTTATTTATTACCAAGGGATTTTTGCAAAGTATCACTTGATATCATTGAAGATGACTCCTCTCAAGGACTATGGTAGTTCTGCAGCTGCAGTGGATGTGCTTCATTCTGGCTCATCCACACACATTTTACACAAAGAGTTAACTGTCCAAGATAATAGGAGTGTGTAAATTCTGTTTGAAGGGTGATATTTCACTTCAAGGCAAACAGAAAACAGCTTGTTCCTTTTTCAGTAGCCAGCACAATATACCATATCCAAAGAGCTTTCCCCATGCTTCGAGGCTTCACAAAGCTCTCCCACTTTTGTGTTGACATTAGGTCTGTTTTAATTCCCATCACCACTTCTACTACCCCGAACACATTCCCTTTGGTATTAACACTCTGAAAAAAGAAGCTCCAATGCTTTAAAAAAAAATGTTTGCCTTCTTCCCTATACGCATGAGCTGTTTAGTACTTTATGTTATTAAAGCAGAATTTTGGCAGAGCTATCACTGGCCCACAGCAGTAATTACTAAGAGTTTGCATAGCTGCCTCTGACTCACTCCGCCTTGGAAATGTTATTACTAAAGTCTGTCTCATTGGAGGCGCACAGGGAGCTTCTTGTGAAGCATGAATTTTTGCTCAGGCCATTCCAGCGACACTCAGCTCATATCCCCAACAGAGTCCTGGGGCACGAGACCAGATGTACTGAGCGAGGGAGGGAGTAAGCTATGTAATGATAAACGCAGACTGAAATATATATCGTTTTGCTTGAAGCCGCAATTTTTTCATGCAATTATGTCTCTGTTTTTCATGTTCTGTATGTTCGTTCAAACCAACTGATTGACGTGAAACATGGCCTATGACAGAGTAACCGATGAAGAAGGGGAATGGCCCATTCATTTTTTCTAAGGGAAGATTTCTGTGTAACTTCCATGCCCTAGGACAATAGAAAAGGGCAAGAGAAAGTGTCCTGGGGTCTTGGTTTAGATGAAACAATTCAGATATGAACTAGTCTGAGATATGAGAAAGGCATTGAAGTCGTTGGGGATTAGAGATCCTTTATTCTACTATTGATCTCTGCCTGTTTGCTTTTCTTTTTTGTTCTCTCGTTTTCTCTGTCTGTCAGACACTCACACAACCACACCAGCGCCTAATTCCTCCTACGTTTTTCTCCGCTGGCTGGTGAGAGCTCAGTGAGAACTGAGTGTTGCCTTCGTGTCTTGCAGTGTGTCCTGACAGCAGTGTCCATTCAGGGTGAGATGTTAAATCTCTGTTCAGAGTCAGCAACCTCTCTAAGGTCAAATCCTAAGGAGGTGTTCATTAATGAGCTCAGCCTCTGCACTTCTGCAGTACTACGCAACACTGACCTGTAACACTTACACAAGTGTGTACAGATGCACACATACAGGAACACACACCAAGATAACCTGTTTATGATTATTCCTCTCGAACATTTTAAAACGCCTGGGGTATGGAAACACTGCAAAGGAAGCATTTTCTGTCTCTCATTCTCCTCACTAATTTATAATTTCCCTCTCTGTCTCTTTCTCTACTCCCCCCCTCCTCCCTTCTCAGAGAGCGAGGAGGGAACAGGGTGGTCTGTGTAGGTTGCTCTCTGGGTTTGTGTTTGTTTCCAACAGCAGCTTATCTGCAAATGCTCAGGTTGAGCTAATTGGCATTATTAAACCAGTGGCAAGCTTGACTCAGATATAAAGGCAGGTGCTGTTGGGTGTGTGCACATTTGTGTGCGTCGGTGGGCCCGCACAATCATCTATGACTGTGCCTGTGAATATGTGTGTGCAGAATTTTAAACCAGCAGCTGTCAATTTCAGTCAGCAAGGCACGTGGCATGTCTGAGGGCCAGGTAGTCCAATTACAGGCAGACACGCTCGATGTACGAGCCGAAGCCCCGGCCTATCTTCCTTCATTCAAACACAGCTGTGGGAGAGGAGACGCTAAATGTGATGTTGGTCGATGTGTGAAGGGCAAACACTATTGGGAGCCACTGTTGGCTCATGGAGGATCGACGCTGGATGGATAAGGGGGGATAAGGAGTTAGGAGAGCTGAAGCAGTCACAGTTGTGTTAGGGGGTTATTGTGTTACAACTGAAAATGATGTTGGCAGTAAACTGTTTTGGAACTTTGCAATTTCTTTCATTTAATCTTCTGCTCCTTTTGTTTCTCCTGTTCTTAGGGTGGGAAGATCCCAGTGAGGTGGACAGCACCAGAGGCCATCGCTTACAGAAAGTTCACCTCAGCCAGTGACGTGTGGAGCTACGGCATCGTCATGTGGGAAGTGATGTCATTTGGAGAGAGGCCTTACTGGGACATGTCCAATCAGGACGTAAGTGTTATATTTCTAATATTCATTAGACACATATATTCTGTAATCCCCTTTTGAAACAGGGTGTTGGATTGCAACATTACATAAGAATTGATAACTCAGTTAGTTATGGAGATAAAGGCGGTTTAAATCACAAAGACCAATGTGTTTTCATCAAATAAATGTGTTGACCACTTTACAGCAAGGCGTCACTACAGAAGATGCACCTTTTTTCCAAGAATTTGTAAGTGTCTATTTCAGGGGATCCTTAAGAAAGATCATAAAAGGGACATCTAAATGAGTGTTATCCCTTTTCTAAAGTTCCATGCCGTAAAAAAAAAACAATTCTAAATCTGGATAAACTGCCTCATTAAAAGGATGGCCATTTCCGTACAGATGTGGTTATATTGCCTTTTCACCCCATAGATAAGCAATCAAGGATAACTCATAAGAGAGGAAGCTGTGATAAATCACACATATTTTATCAGCTCCCATCTCATAGCATCATCATTGAAGATGTCCTTGACTCTGACTTTGAAAGCAGACTTATTATGGACACAGTTTCACACTATCCTCTTTTCCTTCCTGGCCAGCTTTTGAGAGCAATGAATGATTGCTGAGAGCTCTGCTTTGTTCCCCACGTCCGTTTGGATAAGGTCCACGCACAAACTCCCACCATCACACAGGCACCAACACAAACACACAAAACCATTGGATTTGTTCCCATACTATGAGGTCTCTCTCCCTAAGCTCCCTTATTGAGATAGCTAGCCAACCATCAGGCCTCTATGGACCCCGCTCCACAAGGACCGTCCAACCCAGCAGATGTTGCCTCAGTGGGCCAGCAGCAAACACTGCCCGGTGGGACTAATGCAGAGAAGAGGACTGGCACTGCTCAGCGTGTCCGGCTGCTCATTCCACACACACACACAGAGAGACACACACACAAACACAACCACTTGCAACACACTCCATATGCACCATTTGTCAAGATTGTGCTGAGTTGCACTCAACTCCAGGGTGGAGTTGGCAACCTGCAGAGCAGCCTCTAATTTTTAATGATAGTATCTTTTACACTTGATTTCACACCAGACCCTTACTTTATCTTGCAACTATGCATTTTTCAGAAAAGATTACATCTACAAACAGTATGGATGTATGGATATGGGTGAAAGCTAGGTCCATCAATGTGCAATGCAGCAATCTGGCAATCTTTAGTGTTTGTAGTATCTTGAAAGTGGCTTTATAGCTGCATATTAAGCATTTTTGTACTTGACTTGGTTGTTTGTATACTTTTTACAAACCATACATTATAGCTTACAAACAGAGGGTGGTGGGTAAGGGGTGGTCCACTCCATTTCTGCCTCCAGTCTCCAAATTTGATCGACCTTTGTTGAACTCTCAAGAAACACTTCACTCTACCCTTAGAAACTTTCAGTCGTAGCTCCACTATAACAAGTCCAGGATAGCCCGGGAAGCCTTTAAGAGACATGTGTCAAGTGGCTGTGCTTCGCAGTGTTAATAATATGCAATCTGCCCACTCACCAGAGACTTCCTCCTACATTGACACTGCCACTGCTTTCCATCTCGCTCCTTGCTCTGTCCTCCAGGAGTGGCATGTGATTGGCTGAAGTCAAGAGGAAGGGCACATCAGCCTGCATGCTAACTGTCACAAGTGACCAGAGGGAGAGTGACTGTATGGGGCAGGGCGGGGATGTTGTTGAGGCAGGGATGAGCGTGTAAGGATAATACAGTGGATGTGCTTACTGTCATTAGTCATTGCAAACTCAAATTAGTATTTAACTGTTTTAAGAAAGTATATTATTGACAACCAGTCAGCTGGAAGAAAGACTTTGTAACTGACAGAAATGTCTTGTAATTACTGTATGAAGTCTGATTTATAATATCACCTGCGCTTACCTTCCCACCCTTTTTCCCCCCAAGGTGATTAACGCAATTGAACAGGACTACCGTCTTCCACCCCCTATGGACTGCCCCAGTGCTCTGCACCAGTTGATGCTGGACTGTTGGCAGAAGGACCGTAACGTACGACCCCGCTTCGCCGACATCGTCAGCACCCTGGACAAGATGATCCGTAACCCCACCAGCCTCAAAGCTGTAGCCAACATCCCTGCAGTGTGAGTAAAAGCACCTTTTTTCACAGCCCATAATATACGCGTTCACCCTGAAGTGGATATTAAGCTCAAGCAAATATGCCTTTCATCTGTTTATACATACAGTATTTACACTTGCTGTCTCTACAAACTATCCAGCATGCACATGCTTACTTTTATCCTCTCATAAAATAAACATGAATGTATTACGGTTGATTGCATCAACCCTGTACTTTTCATCCCCAGATCTTGTTGTTTCTGTTGCTTACAAATCTCAGCCATCCACAGTTGCATGTTGGTTTTCGAAATTGTTACCCCATATTTATAGAGCCAACACATGTCCTTAGACACCTTCAAATATATAGAAACATCTTATCTACATACAAATGTATAAAGCTTTATGGGTTATTTTGTAGAGGCACCATTGACCTTTTTTTAATCTTACCCAGACCTTGTTTTAGGCCTTTTTTTCCACCCTTTCTCGAACATCCTCTCAAACTTGGCCAGATTCTCTATGGACTTTCTGTGAACTGTGAGCTTCAGGTTTCTTCAAAGATTTTCCGTTCCAATTTCTAGGCTTTGGTTGGGCCACTGAGGGTCATTCAGAGACTTGTCCCGGAGCCACTTGTTTTGGCTACATGCTTTGTGCTGCTGCCATGTTGAAAGGGGGACTTTTGGCCTGTTGTGAGTTTGAGGATGTGCAATGGAGCATGTTTTTCCCTCGTGGTCCCTTTTGTATTTAGCCCTATTCACAGTTCTTTAATTGTGACCAGTTTCTTAATGTCTCACAGTGAGAAATATCACAATAGCATGCTTTCTATAAGTAATAGTATTGGCCAGGTTATGAGTGGTGGCTTTATCTTTGCGAGTTAAAGCACTTGGCATGAAGGCCAAGGAGTAATGGTTTTCTCTAATGGTACTAGAGACTCTTTGTGTGCTTTTATAAAACATTTGAATAGTTGGATAGGTAGGTAGATAGATATAGTGTAAAGTATAACACCTACATGTGTTACATAAAAAATCAAGGGTCAGAAACACTTTCCAAAGCCAATATTCGCACAGTACACAGATACGGACACACTTTTGCCTTCTCCGTCTCGCATCCTCGCACACACACCAACGCAAACGCCATAACAACAGTTTCTCTCCTTAATATTTCATCAAAGCCTTGCTCTAAACTTGCTTGCTCTTACCTTCCCCCCCCCCCCCGCTCCTTTCCTCTCCCTCCTCCAGGCCTTCGCAGCCACTGCTGGACAGATCCATACCTGACTTCAACACCTTCAGCTCAGTAGAGGACTGGCTCGGTGCCATTAAGATGAGCCAGTACAGAGACAACTTCCTCAACTCAGGCTTTACCTCCCTGCAGCTGGTGGCTCAAATGACCTCAGAGTGAGTTCACCTGCCCATCTGCAAACAGATTCAAAGCCATATGGCACTTAGATTGACACACTTGAATAAATTAACTCATCTTCAAGTGCATTTATTTTTGGCATGAATGCGCCCAGTGAGTCAAGTCTTTAAATGAAAGCATTGAATTAAAGCCTGTACTTGGTAATGCATACACATATAACAGAGAATAACAGAGTCACTGTGGTACAAATAATTCCATCCATGCCCTTCCAATATTATAAGTGCTATCTACAAAATAATTCATTTTATTTGCACAATTTTCTAAAATGGATAAGTATGTTAAACCTTTAGATGCATATTTGGTGGAGCGTATTTATTTTCTGTTATTGATGTGGAGTATTTTAGAGTGGGTCATGACAGCATTTCCTGTAGCTTGTGATACCAATTGACACAAATATTGCAGTTCATTTATTTTAATTAGCAATGTTGCTTGATCTGCAAATGTTCGTGAGAATGTGAAATCATTCAAACATTTATTTTATATTAAATATGTATGCTCCAGGCTTGGTGACATTTATATATTCTATTGGCAATGCAAAGCAACATGTATTATTTTCTCAAGTGATATAATTCATTTTGTAAATGTGTGTTGCCACTAGCTTTCCACCCTGAAATTGCCCTTTCATATATACAGCAATGTAAGGGCTGTAAATGCACCAGAAAATGCTAGCCATTTGTAATCCCTTCATACTCAAATTCCATCTTCAACATGATGGAAAGCCTTTCATCTATTGCTTTTCAATTTTCTTTCTCTCTGCCTCTTTTTCTCTAGGGACTTGCTGAGAATAGGAGTGACCCTGGCAGGCCATCAGAAGAAGATCCTCAGTAATATCCAGATCATGAGGGTGCAGATGAGCCAGTCACCCACGACTATGGCATGACTACAGGGGGCGCTGTGCCATGGAGCGGGCAGCATTCGTAGGACCAACAGCAATGGCAGCCCTCGAATGACCCCCGATCCATCGGAACGCGCCAGAGTCGAGACTATTGTCTTAATCTAATCCACTAACGTGACAACAGGAGACCAGGGTCCTCACCACCACATGGTTAACAGCTATCACCCTTCATGTAATCCACACCAGGAGTTCAGGGTCAAGACTTGTAACTGTTTCTCCATTTATCGATGAATGGAAGACAGATATCAGTTGCTGCGGTTATGGACTGCCATGCATATCATTGTAAACCAAAATAACTCCAACAACCCGACATCGCCACGTGGAATCTCTCACAATTTCAGACCATATGGTAAAATGAGTGATATTGTACTTCTATATTATCTGGACTAGAAGATGTTCAAATTGTAAACAGAAGTGTGAGCCATTTAGAAACAACGTGTGAACTGTGATTTTACCGTCGTCAATGTGTTCGATGAAGATGCCTTGACCTGGCCAGAAATCAGTCCAAGAAGAAAAAGCAATTACCAGTACGAATAATTAGAGGGAGAAGAATACAGGGATGTACAGTGGAGCGCCATTTCCAACTTTCACATCATCCTTTGCTCGTTTGAGGAATTTGAAAATGGTATCGTAAATGGACTGGTGAACATTAAGAGCCAGTTACATTTTTGTCTTTTACCATCTGTTTGTTTGTTTTCGTTTTTTTTATCACTATAGCAAGATGCCGCTCACTCGTATTTTAACTTTAACACTACCTGTGGAGTCCTGGGTGGAAGGCCTGCCAAAGGACTTCTCAACCAGCCCCACCCAGATTCAGAGAATATAAATATGTTTATCTCTTGCTAAATATGATTATATCTTTCATAATAAACCTTCATATTGAAGGTGATATGTATGAATATGTATGTACAGATCTCTCTGCTTGCATTTTTGGCAAAGACATGTTTGTTGACTAGATTGTGATAGACACATGCAATGTGTAGATTCCCTACGGTGCCCTGGTTCCTTTACGATGACCGAACAACAGACACTGGCTTGTACGGCCATCCTGACTCAATCTTAGCCTGAAGAAAAACACTAAAGGAACTGTGGGCAAATAATTGGTATTGTAGATCAATATGAAACATTCTGTAGGATTTAAAATAATTTACAAAATATCCATTTATTGGAGATCATGTTTAATGTGGGTGTACACATGCTGTCTCTTGCTGGTGAGCACTTACTTGTACAGATATGTTTTATGTTTTTATTTCTTTTTGTTCTGTTGTTGATGTTTGTGTTGGGAGTGTACAGCCCCATCCAGAGGGGAGGGAAAACCAAACCCACGCCTTGGCCGACCCAGATCCATGGTAAATACCCACTAATCACACAGGAAAAAACACTTCTTAACATCAAATTGCTCTGTTTCTGGTAGATTTTATTTCAGGCAAATCCAGTTACTCCTTCTCATGGGTGCTGCAGATATCTTGGTCAAGGCAACATTCCCTGCAAGTTTGAAATGCATAAGAGTGTAGCTAATCATAGAACTGGAAATTGGAGTGAAAGAGCATCACTTCTCTTCACAGTAAAATGAGCATCTGGGCTGAGGTTTGCCAACAGACGCCTGATGCCATTCCTGTGAACACACAGGCTTAAACAGCCCACACGGGCACACTGCTCACAGTGTAGCAAAGCCTCCCATACACTGCTGCAAGTACGCTGCTGAGTAAATCTATGCATTCTCACTATATGCTGCTGCCATATGGGGTAGGCAGGTTGAGCACAAACGCTGTTGTGCCACAGAGAGTTTCATATATCTCTCCATAAGTCTTGGCTGCAGGACCTGGTGTATGAAAAATCACTCTTTGGTAGTATCTGATTGCAAGATGTCTACATTGTTCCCAGGGGATGAGGGATGGCTGTCTTTGGAATTACACGGCAGTATTTTTGGAATATATTTTCAGCATAGCTCTGGGTAGTGCACAAGGATGATTTCTCTTTTTTAAGGCTGTTGATGGTCTTTTATGATTGCAGTGGGATTGGTCGGTGCAATGAGACAGTGTCAGGAAACCTTGGTGATGAGTAGTAGAGGTTTGTTTCCCTTGAGGCTTGCTTGCTTCAGGCTTTGGGGACTTTTTGCCATGTTTTATAAATCAAGTGTTAGCAATAACAACACTTGCCTTTAGTAGTGAAAGCAAACTGACCTGAAGGTTCCTGTGGTAATATTCCTTTGACATCCAGCCATGGCAGACAATTATCATGATATATTGTAGTGTCACTTATCTGCATTAGCTGAGACCCTGCTGAAATCCCTTTTGGCCCTATTTGAAGAGACGTGAATGAATATGGTTCTAACCACCTTGGTCCCAAAATTAGAAATTGATGGCAGGCCCATTAGCAGATTATTAAGTATACTCACCACCCTCAAGTCATCTTCCTCCCCCTCCTTCTCCCTCTGTCTGTCCTGCCCTCTCTGCCTGTCTACACCCCCTAGCTGGCACAACTCCAGCTTGTTTACCCTGGGTGTAACCAAGCTGTCCTGGCTGGGCTGGGCAGGGCTGGGCCATGACTGCTCTGTCCTGAGAAATGGTTAGCTCCATGCTCCAGTGGGCCCAGGCAGGGGTGCAAACACCTGCTGAGACCCCCTTCTGAAAGGCATCTGATCAGCCAGCGGGGAGGAAGACTGATGGGAACAACAAAAAACAAACACACACACACATACACACACACTTAGGAACCCTCAATTATGTTATACCCACAACTGTTTTCCAGCCTGATGCTTAATGAAGGGAAAGTGTGCAGGGCCCAGAGTGTGTGCATATGGGAGATAGGGGGATGAGTCAGTGTGCAGGAGGAAGGGGATGGCATAAAGATAGGTTGTTAGATGAAAGTCAGAAAGTAAGCTCATTGAAGTAAATCAGTTCCTTTCATCTTGCAGTATGGTTTATGTGGCAACATCTTTGTCCTTGTATTATGTTGATTTCATTGGTTTAGTTTGGTAAAGGAAAATACTGTAATCAAGCTGCTAGTTTGCCTAATGGGCAAAATCCATTGCTTTCTCCTTTCAATAGTGCAAGCCATTGATTTACCAACTATTTCTGAATATGATCATATGCTTCTTGAGATTGGCAGAAATCCCTTTAGCTGAAGCCAATGATTCAATTTGAATGCATTAGTCCTCTATTCAGCTCAGTCTCGTGTGTTTGCTTTTCAACCCAAGAGCCTGTGAATGGGACGATAGAATGTATTCATTATGAAACAGTGTAATTCTCCATTTGCTCTGTTTGTCTTTCTAAATATGTGACAGTAATGACACTCCAATATGATAAATGGAAAGGGCGGGTCACCATCCCTCTCTGAGAGTCGTTTCACATGGATGCCATTCATCACAGACTGATACAAAACACAGGAACAGAGCTTGTTAAAACGTTTCACGGTGCTGTAACTGTCGAAGGAGGGACCAATGATCCTTTTAGTAGTGGATTTCATGCCTGTCATTTACGGTATAGGGTAGAGCAGTAGAGGCTGTGTTCACCTGAAAACAATCTGACTCAACACCCTACAAAACGTATAAAAAAACCCTGTTCTCTTTTTTCCCCTCTGTTTCAGACTGTGGACTCAAAGATACACACACATATAAAAACAGCACACACATACACTTCATGTACACACTTTACACACACACCCTGAACACTTGCAATTGCTTCGGTCAGCCAGGCAGGAAGAACAGGTGAAATGGGACCTTTCCAGGAGACCAGTCACAACCTCCCCCTATAGGTACACACTGGATGGTGGAGCTGAATATGAGTGTGAAAATGTCATAGTTTGTTTATGTGTGCGTGAGAGAGAGAGTGAACGTATGTGTTTGTTTGTGAGTAACAGGCACATTTGTGTATACAGACATTTATGTGTGCACAGGTACGTTGTTTAAGAGCGTGAACAATTATTATTTTTTTGTCTCTGTATAGCTACCACTTGTAAATTGTGACAAGTACGTGTCAAGAGTTTGTAAGCTGTAACTTTCTGAAAACTATTGTACTAAAATGCACTCAATAAACGCCTTGGAAAACAAGTCAATCACTTTATGATGCGTGACTCAATGGTCTATAATTCTGTTTTCATTAATAGTGAGTCAAGAAAACAGAGAGTAAGGGTTATTATCCAGAAACACTACTGTCAGCGCTGTGTGTTATCGTGACGTCTAATGCTTGGTTTCATAATGGCTAAGGAAACAAACAGCATTTTGTAACCATCGGTCTGGGTGGCAGCATGTGTTAAAAGCCATGAGCCACTAATAAACGAGTCGTCATGCAAAACCAAACAATTACTCTCCTAGAAAAGTGACAATATTTTGACAAACTAGTCGAAAATTATCCTCACAACTTAAGTGTTATGTGTCTCAAACACACACTTGCACACACACTCACAGGCAGTACAAATACACAAGCAGTCACAACAGTCTCATAAATTCCATTTGCCAGAGACTGAGACTTTTAGAGCACTTCACACACTGGAAAGTGTGCCGCACAGTAATGATATGGTTAATGAGGTGAGTCGAAAGATGTGGGGATGTATCAAACTCTCAGCGTTCCTCCATAACTGTTTATTGACTCTAATTGATTGATAATATCCAGCTTCATATTAGCTCGAAGACTGCTGTGCAGGGGCTGTGCCAAGCCAAAAGGGAGCCAACAAGATTCATGAAACAGCTTATTTGTCTGTCTTTTCAAGTTTGTGATATTAAAGTGCTTCACTCGTCACGTTGTCCTTACTGCAATGAGAAGTGCAATGATGTCAGTAAAGAAGTGGTGAAAACGTCTGCTGTTCCTTAAAATGTTTTGACATGGTGTTGATGAAAATGTGGAGATCTTGTAATTAAAGAGTAACTGTAACCACACCAAACAGTAATGTCACTGGGTCATGGAGTGCACCTGTTCCCCTCTACAATCAGCTGAAATAAACCACTGTACTGTAGGTCAGCAAGACATGATTTTCAGAGCGTGTTAACCTGCTCTTTATGTAAACATGTCAGCTTTGTGTTTGCCTCCTTAAAAAAGGAAAATGTAAGCTTTAGAACTGTACCACGTTAGTCTTATTTTTCATAATGTGGCCATCCAGTGGTAATTATAGCATTGCTAACTGCTTTGATTTTGGAATGTGGCAACAAATTAGTCAGAGTTGGAAAGAAACCCAGGCAGTCAGACAATTTTAAAGGTTTTCAAACCAACCACCAGGTTTACCTTATGGTCTAAATACTTGTTTCCTGCCAACTCTGATATTTTTTTGGCAATGTTGCCTTGTCACCAGATTAAATAAATACCCTGTTGAGTCAAATGTTTTCATAACATAACTTAATATTGACAACCAAATCTAATATATAAGTTGTGTTGAAGTGGACATTTCCTTTAATGGATACGTTCTTGCCTAAACATGAAATACTCACAGACGACAAAATGTTTCATGGGAGTAGTCATATCGCTCAGGAGACAGTTCAAGGTCATGCGGATGCTTTAATTGAACGTGTAGAGCTATACCAATAGTTAAACAAATGTAATGACCATTGATATGGTGATGTGCTTTATAGTATCCTTCCCCTACGCATTTAGCTTAATTGGACCTATTTGTCACAGTAATCAGACCAATTAGAGCGATAGTGGAAGATATGTGCCAGTGTGACAAGGAGTTCTACATTGCATTAGGTGTGAAAGCTGGTGTGTGTGTGTGTGTGTGTGTGTGTGTGTGTGTGTGTGTGTGTGTGTGTGTGTGTGTGTGTGTGTGAGAGAGAGAGAAATAGGATGAGATCGCCCGATTGAGACTGACAGAAAGCCAAAGAGATAAAGACAGAGATGAGTGTGGAGAGCGTTTTCTTGAAAGTATACTTCATCCGTAACAGCGTGTTTATCACTGACGAGGGAGTCAGCGCCCTTTATTTCACATTAAAGTCACAGGAAGTTTGAAAAGTGACTTTTCAGCAGCAAATCTGTGCCTTAATCAATATTCCCTGAGCAATCACCTGTGAGAAAGGGATCGGTGCACAGCAGGGAACTCCTGCAGAGAGAAAGGGAGAGAGTTGGGGGGGGGAAAGGGAATCCATCCAGCGGTGCAGATCAGAGAGTGGGAGTAGAAATATTGTGAAGTGAATACTGAATGAAGGACGGAGGCATATAGTGAACTGACAACCATGGGGCATAGATGATGGCACAGAGACAGGGGGGGGGCGAGCTATAGGAAGATAGAATGGAACGAAAGGTATTTCTTGAATCATTATCCTTGTATGTACATTTTTCAAGACATATTTATTTAGCAAAACACAGAAAACATAACATTACTAGAGTTGTGTCGATCCTCAGTTACTGGTAGTTCACTTTGTGAGATTGTCCAAGGCCTAGATCTAATCTCAGTGCTTTCTGTCTGCAGGGCCTCAGTAAGCTGTGTGCATATCGACAGTGATCTTGGGGGTCTAGGAAAAGCCCACAACACAAACTGTTGTTTGGAGACCTGAGTCTGAGTATGGTTCACAAGCTCTGTGTGGGACTGTGTTTTTTCATGATATCCGTAATTTTACTAAATATATAATGTGAAATATAGCATGAAGATGGGGGACAAAGCTTAAATCATGAGCCATCAGATCTTTTCATTTTCCAGTTGGTTGTTAAATCAGGTTCAGATCTAGTAAAATGTCCATACCATTGACCATTAACTCCTGTCACTAGAGATTGACAGTATTAGCTAAGAATATTGAAAACGTGTATAAATAATATGGATTCTGCAAAAATATGGAGGGATGTGGTCCCTATGACTGATATGACAAATATAACAGAGTCTTTAGAAGAGGACACACTACATGTAGCCTACACAAGAGAGGCACAACTCAACAATATCATGTATACAAAGAGAAAATAAAAAGTAAATGACTACTTTTCTCTGTTTCTGCCTCTATAAAAAGTTTGGAGTGCATTTATAGAGTGTGCTTTGTCTGGTAAAAGGTTTTGATCTTCAGCTTATTTTTCTTGCTTTCGAAGCAACATTTTCTTTTTGTGAAAAAACATAGCTAATCCTGTACAATTCCTCAGCTTGTTATGATGGGGAACGTTCATTTCACTTGGTCAATAATAAAGTTATTGATGGACCTCAGTGAATTAAGTGAATCTGGAAATATTGCATTGCTTAATCAAGATGTCAGCTGCAAGATTTCAAAGAGTATCTCTCTTAATAGTTTTTGTGTAGGAAGAGACATTCAGCACCTGGGTCAAATGAGATTTTATGTCTCGAAGGAGTTCATCAAATTTAATTATGATACATATAATTACCAAAAGCAATCTACTGTGTGGTAGGAATAATCATTTCAGAGAGACGCTAGCACCTGCAGGGGTAAGGCGTCATTTAGAGACAGTCTAGAGTGACAGGAGGAAGAGAGTGAAAGAGAAAAAGACAGAAACGGGTGATTGCTAGATATTCCTATGGGAAAAAGTCAGCGGTCTCCTCCTTCTTACTGTAAGAGCTTAGAAAATGACAGAAAATGTAAATCCTGCTTAACCAATCTTAGTGTCATTGTACTGTTTAGTATTCGATGGGATAACAAAAGAACATTTGACAAGTACTTGATTTTGCTTGGTTGTGAAAACATGGCCGTCTTTCATTATACTTGCGCTTCAGAGAACATAAACAAAAGACTTGCCAAATCCAGATGTTTATAAATGAGCTGGATTTATCATAACAGTATGTGAAGAATGACTGCTGTTGTACAGCAGGTACAGAGTGAACAAAGGGAGTGGGAGGAAGAGGTGAGTTATGATGGCTTCGAGGATCACAGCTGATCCTTCTCATCCTTCTTTCAGAGGGTGAGAAGGGGTAGGGTTTATGAGAAGGGACATTAACCCCCTTCCACATACGCTGCGTCACAAGCTCCCCCACCCATACCGGAAACCCCCCGCAGAGTCTAATCCCACACAGAGCCCCTCACAGCTCTGCCTGCATTCGATTTGTGCAAAAATCAATGAAATATTTTCCCACCAAAATGAAGACGAACAATGGGTGAGATCTGCACGTCAAGGTCTTCCTAATTAGAGAGTTCACACCAAAGGGCTCCTTTGCTTTGGGGCTTGCAGAACAGAGGAAGAGGGGGGTGAAACTGGAGAAAGAATGGATAGTGAGTGATGAAGGTTATACCCTTCCCACTCGTTGCTCCCATCTCTCTAATATCAACTTCATAACTCGTAACCTTGGCTGCCAAAGCACATCCGATCGGCTGACATTTTCTACGTTCCTGGCCATCGCTGTTCACACAGCATGCCATGCCAGAAGCTACAAGCTTTTCCTCTCATTGTCTCCTTCCCTGATATGCAGCGACATGTCCCTGTGTTTTATCACATCTAACCCCTTAAAAATGGAAGTGGAAACCCTTCCATATTTTTGAATTATTTAAAGGCCTTCTGATGTCTTTGCTCTGGGTAAGTGCAGAAGGTATATCGTGTAGTTTCTGTGTAGACATTCTACAATGCCCTTAACTTGACTGCCCTCACAGGGTGAAGAAACAAAGCAGATGATAATAGACAATGCTGACCTCTCTCTAATGAGGGCGTTGGGATGAATATATGTAAATCTCCCACCAAGTTTGCCTTTAACCCCTTTGTGTAGAAGAGGTCAAATACTTTGCTTCTGCTCACAGCACATACCTGTGCAATCATGACTGCAGGAAATTCATTTAGACTTTCCTCAGCTGCATGATAAACAAATTGGTTCCTCACATAAATGCACCATATCACTTTACCTCCACACTTACAGTCACTTCTAAAAGTAAGTTCTCATGGTCAAGCACTACACAGCAGTGATGCATGTGAAGCGGAATTACGTAGAGCAGTGAAACATTGGTTAATGGCAGTCATTACTGCTCTTAACCAGCACCTGCAATCTTAACAGATGCTCAAAGCATTGAGAGGTACGTTTCAGAGACACACTCCAGCTGGTGTAATGCTATTCATACTTGGTGAAGAGGGATACACTGCACAGTCATACTTTATATGATGCCGTTAACTGGCTGTTACAGAGCTCCTTTGGAAATATATAGCATTCAGCTTTATGACAC